GCCGCCGTGGGTGGAGTTGGGGGGAGTGTGTGGGGGAGCCGCCGTGGGTGGAGTTGGGGGGAGTGTGTGGGGGAGCTGCTGTGAAGTTGATGGGGGAGCTGCTCTTTGGTGGAGTTGGGGGAAAGTTGGTGGAGGCGCGCGTGCTTCCCAGAGCTCGTGACCAGAACATTCACGCATTAGGAAGGGAGGAAAGAGTTCTCCCTGTCAGCACCTAAGTTCAGGGGCTGCTTTCATTTCCCTTTCTAACCTTACCACCAGCAGAGTGCTGGGACCTGGCAGATACTCGGTAATGTTTGCGGAATGAATAATGATTTCAATAAATATTCGTTGCAATTTATAACACATTACTCACAGATTCCAGATGGAACAGAGAAGAAAACAAAAAGCCCACCAATTACAAGGCAATTAACTACAGGGGAATAGGTAAACTCAAGATGAAGAATGAAATTTTAATCATAAAGAACAGCGTAGAAACAGCTGGACAGACTTGGGTACATGAATTTGAAAACTTCTACTGGCAAAAAATAATGCCATAAACAAAATTAAAACACAGTTTCAAAACTAGCGAAAATGCTTACAAAAATCGGAATATAAATATGAATTGCCTATTATTTGTTGGATAAAAGAACAAATGACTGAAATTATGGCCAACAGAAGAAAATGGGCCAAAGACATAAAAATCAATTCAAAGAAACCAGCTAGCCAATAAACATATTTCTTAAAAGATCAGAGATTTTCATGTCAAATTAGCAGAGAAATTTTATAGTGATAATACCTAACATGTTGGCAAGGATAGTGAATAACGTACTTTGAGAAAGAAAGCAAGCTGGCCGGCGTGGTGGCTCACACCTATAATCCCAGCACTTTGGGAGGCCAAGGCGGGTCGGGTGGATCACCTGAGGTTAGGAGTTCAAGGCCAGCCTGGCCAACATGGCAAAACCCTGTCTCTACCAAAAATACAAAAATTAGCTGGCCATGGTGGTGGGCACCTGTAACGCCAGCTACTCGGGAGACTGAGGAAGGAGAATCGCTTAAACTTGGGAGGCGGAGGATGCAGTGAGCTGTGATCGTGCCATTGCACTCCAGCCTAGGCGACAAGAGCGAAACTCCACCTCTAAAATTTTTTTAAAAAAGAAAGAACGTAAGTTAATAGACTCTCTTTTGAAAGCAATATGGCAGTACATGGCGGAGATTTTAAAATGTTAATCTCCTATGACTAATTTCGTTTCTAGGAACTTACCTTAAAAAATGTAGATGTATGCAGAGAGACGTATGTACAAGAATGCTATTCTAAGAGCGAAAATTGGAAAGAGCCTGAACATCTACAAGTGAGAGACGAAATAAATATGGTATGCCCACAAAATGGAACGTGATAGACGCATTAAAAATAGTACTTTTGGGAAGTCTTCGGGAATTTCTGGGAAAAGAAGAATCCCAAACTGTAAAAACGACAGCATCTAAACTGTGCTGATAATGTGCCTGGTTGATTTCTTTGTGTCTACACAGTGCCGCATGGCCACGTCTTCTGAAAGGCCAAAAGGAAACAGAAGCAGCAAACAGCCATCCTTGCCCCGCGGGGAGGAGCCCAGGACTCTGCACTTTCTTTCCTGCCTTTCTCTAAGGAGCGTGTTGACTTTTACAGTTGGTTGTGGGCGTGGGAAAGGGGGTGGGGAGGGGCGGATTTAGGAGCTCTGAAAACACAGAGGTGGGCAGAGCTTTTTCACTAGCAACTGACTTAAGCCCGATGCCGCTTACTCACCCGTCGTACTTCTCCATGTTGATCTCGTACAGGGTCTCCTTCGCCTGATTGGCATGCTCAGTAACTGCAGGGGAGAAATCCCAACACACAGTTCATACTCACATCTGTGAGTCCTCATGTCAAAGAAAAGGCAAAGAGTCCATTCTTTTAAAATGAGTTCCTGTAACACCTTGGGGTTGGTGGGGCGTGGAGGGGGGGTTCCTAGATAAAATTCCTTCAATCCTACGTCACGTCACGCTTACAGGACGGAATCAAGCTGACCCCACGAACGTGAACGCGGGCCTCTCTTGGGGCACAGTCTACTGGATAAGATGCAGCGTTCTTGGCATTTAATTGCCAGCAAATAAGAATTTCTTTGAAAGAGACTATATCTGATTCATACGTTTTTCTTATTATACAAGTTACTTTCAAATCTGTAGAGTATACCAAAATGTAGCAAGAAGATAACGTTAATGCAGGCTCTGCACCCGACGTCAACTTCTACTGAGTGTGCTGTACACACAATTTTGTATCCTTGTTTTCCTGTCATCTCCCCATCGCCTTGTTATCATTAAAAATTCTTTGTAAAAGCCCTCTGAAAGTGCTACGTAACACTCCTTCAAATTCACCACCATTGTATGCTTATGTCTCCTGTTTGGGGGGCATTTAAAATTATTTTGTGGCTGGGTGCAGTGGCTCACGCCTGTCAGCCCAGCCCTTTAAGAGGCTAAGATAGGCAAATCACCTGAGGTCAGGAGTTCGAGACCAGCCTGGCCAATGTGGTCAAACCCTGTCTCTACTAAAATATAAAAATTAATCGGGCGTGGTGGTGCCTGCCTGTAATCCCAGCTACTCAGTGTTATGTGTAACATTTTTCCTTTTGGTGTCACAAAGAAAAATCAGTACTGGGACAAAGGATTTCTCAGCAAAGCAATTCTTCTTACTTTCTGCAGAAACCGTACTCCCGTTAGCAATTTTGCCACAAGAGTACAATGAACAAAGGAAAGCAGACATATTCATTTCTCACACACTTGGGGTCGTCCTTACTGCTGTGTCTGATCTCCGTTGGCTGGAGCCAGACCTCAGAATCTAAACTAAAACTCGATTGGCTAGTAACTTGAAACTTTTCTAAACAGGTAAAGCAACGGAGAGCAAAACAAGGAGAAGTGCAAATAAGGAGGGGCACAGGCTTCGAGCCGGGACATGCCTGTGAGCACGCCGGCACAGATATCTTGGTTAAAGTACAAGGACACAGAATGTACTACGTGCCTGTGAGCATGTCTAACAGCTACATAAGATAGGGCTTCTAGCAAAAGCAAGAAGGCTTTTGAAGAAAGTGTTTAAAACAAACTATTATTTCTAACACTTACGAATTTTCCTTAAACAAGAAAGGAAACTTTGAAGAGGAACTTTTCTACTTCCCACATCGGGAAGCTGAGTCATGAGAATCGCTTCAACCTGGGAGGTGGAGGTTGCAGTGGGCTGAGATCACGGCACTGCACTCCAGCCTGTCCAGCCTGGGTGACAGAGTGATACTCTTTCTCAAAATAAAAATAAAAAGAAATAAACTTGTTTCCAGTGCTTTACTATAATACAAACAGTGCAAAGGACCTCTGTGTGCCTCCATCTCTGTGCACTTCACTGTGTCCTAGGAAAGATTTAGAAAACATAAAATACTGGCGAAAATGCCCTCATTTTTCAGGCTCTCAACCCACATTGCCAGGTGAGTTTTTCACATCGCTTCACAAAACATGGTCTCTCCCCACCTTTCCGCATCCGGCACTTGTACTGCGCTACTATATTGTGCATGTGAATATCCCTTATTGATGAGATTATTTCCAAGACTTATTCATCCTTTGTGACTCCTCTTTTGAGACTTTTCTGTCTGTAATTGTTGCCCTTTATCTTCCTAGTGTTTGTCTTGAGCTTTCTATTCCGAGACTTGGCTGCAAAACACTAAGTGATTTATTTTACATTTTTCTCATTTTGCTATGTAAAAAAACCTTCTATTTTGTTTAAAATCATTTTACAGGATAAAAATCTTGGGCTGGGCATGATGGCTCATCCCTGTCATCCCAGCACTTTGGGCGGCCAAGGTGGGTGGATTGCTTGGACTGAGGGGTTTGAGACCAGCCTGAGCCACAGGGTGAAACCTTATCTGTACAAAAAATACAAAAATTAGCCAGGCATGGTGGCACACGCTGTGGTCCCAGCTACTTGGGAGGCTGAGGCAGGAGGATCGTCTAAGCCAGGGAGGCTGAGGTTACAGTGAGCCGTGACTGCACCACTGCACTCCAGCCTGGGCAACAGAGTGAGACACTGTTTGGAAAAAACAGAAGCTTCTCTAGTGACCATACCTGAATCGCTCTCACACTGACTTCTACACAGTTAATGTAGAATGTGTGTCTTACCAATGATGTCAGTGGTGATGGAAGCTAAGGTGAACAGTGGTGCCACTTTTCTTTCATATATCCGCTTGCCTTGTCCTTTTCCTCCAAACGGATTGATAAATACCAGCAAATGCTTTGGTCTCGATGCTGCAAGACAACAACAACATGTCAATGACAACAAAAATTTAAAAATCAAAATTAAGAAGTCTGTGATTGGACAAAAATCAAACCATGAACGTTACAGAATTCTGATTAGTGATATCTGATATAAAGTGTTTTTAAAACTTAAAAAACAATAACAAAGAGTTTCCTGATCGATGAAAAGGGAAAATCAACAGGCTGTCCAACTGGCATGTTGGGGGTGGGAAGTAGAAAACTTCCTCTTCAGAGTTTCCTTTCTTGTTTAAGGAAAATTCGTAAGTGTTAGAAATAATTTAAACACTTTCTTCAAAAGCCTTCTTGCCTTTTTGCTAGAAGCCCTACCCTATGCAGCTGTACTACTATGTACAGGCACATAGTACATTCAGTGTCCTGGTACTTTAGCCAAGATGTCTGTGCAGGACGTGCTCACAGGCATATCCCAGCTCGCAGCCTGGGCCCCTTCCTTATTTGGACTTCCTGTTTCCTCTCCATTGCTTTTACCTGTTAGTTTCAAGTTGTTAGCCAATCAAGTTTTAGTTTAGATTGTGCGGTCTGGCTCCAGCCAATGGAAATCATTGCAGTAAGGATGACCCCAAACGCATAAGAAATAAATATGTCTGCTTTCCTTTGTTCATTGTACCCTTGTGGCTAGATTGCTAATGGGAGTACCCTTTCTGCAGAAAGTAAGAAGAATTGCTTTGCTGAGAAATCCTTTGTCCTAGTACACATTTTTCTTTGTGGCACCAAAAAGAAAAGTTTTATACATAACTTTGGACATCATGAAAGCCCCACGAACTCAGAATTCCAACTGAGAAGACTCTCTCTGCTCTGAAGCGTGCTGCAGGGTGCACCTCGTGGGGGTGGCAACCTTGTGCTTCTGCAGCTGAAGGACTTAAGTGTGCAGACAGCAGGAAGAAGGAAGTAGACGTAGGGAAGAGTCTTAAGAGAAGCAGACAGGCAGGCATGGAAAGAGGAAGCCACACAGGGAGCTGCTCACAGAGATGGGAAGACAGAAGCCAATGGCTTCCTTGACCTCATTTCAGTCCCTCCAGGGGCCCCACCAGACTCCCATGCCTGGGTTTCCTCAGTCACCCGCATTTTCTTATCACAACTTCTACATTTCTGTGTTGGTGGGTTCATGTAAATCTGCTACTTAGAAGAACACATTTAACTAACAAATCAATAAAAGTAACAAGACGGTACCTGCCCAAGAAAACTGAAAACCTAGGTCCATATAAAAACCCAGACACGAATGTTCATCACAGCATTATTCCCAACAGCCAAGAAGCAGGGACGCCCATATGCCCATCACAAGAAGAACAGATCGAGATGCAGTGCACACATCAACGGAGCATCCTTCACTCATGAAATAAGTGAACTACCAGTGCACAGTCAACGTGAATCAATGTGAAAACAGTACACAGAGACACTGAAGCCTGCCGCCCAGGAGCACACGTTACACAGTCCCACGTACATGAAGTTTGAGAGAAGGCAAAACAACCAAAACTACAAGACAAGACCAGCCTAGTGGTTTCCTACCTGATGGGGAAAGGTCATGGGAAAACTTCTGGGGTGACAAAAGCCTTAATGGGCTTGAGTTACAAAGGTATGTGTGTTTTAAAATTCATGATTGAAACTTAGGATTTCAGCCAGGCACTGTGGTTGATGCTTGTAATCCCAACAGTTTGGGAGACCGAGGTAGGAGGATCGTGTGAGCACAGGAGTTCAAGACCAGCCAGGGCAATAAAGTGAGACACTGTCTCTATAAAACAATCAAAAAAGTTGGGCTGAGGTTGGTGGCTCATGCTTGTAATCCCAGCACTTTGGCAGGCTGAGGTGGGCGGATCACTTGAGGTCAGGAGTTCAAGACCAGACTGGGAAACATGGTGAAACCCTGTCTCTACTAACAATACAAAAATTAGCTGGGCATGGTGGCAAGTGCCTGTAATCCCAGCTACCTGGGAGGCTGAGGCAGGAGAATCACCTGAACCCGGGAGGTGGAGGTTGCAGTGAGCCAAGATTGCGCCACTGCACTCCAGCCTAGGTGACAGAGTGAGTGAAACTCTGTCTTAAAAAAAAAAAGTTAGCTGGGTGTGGTGGTGTGTGCTTGTAGTCTGAGCTACTCTGGAGGCTGAGGTGGAAGAATCACTTGAGCCTGGGAGGTCAAGGCTGCAGTGAGCTATGATCATGCCACTGCACTCTGCCCTCAAGCCTGGGCTAAAGAGTGAGACGGCACTCCAGAATCTACAAATATTACAAAGAAAATAAAATAATTTACTAATAAATTCAGGTCAGTAAACCCACAAACTTGGATGAAATGGATAAACTCAAAAAACAAAATTTGTCAGAGATATCAAAAGAAACAGAAAATCTAATAGTCTGACAGCTAATAAAGACACCAAAGGTATTAAAACTTCCCACAAAGAAAACTCCAAGCCCAAATGATTTCAAAACTGAATTATTCCAAACTTTTTTTTTTTTGAGGAAGAGTCTTGCTCGGTCGTCAGGCGCCAGGCTGGAGTGCAGTGGCGCAATCTCGGCTGGCTACAACCTCCGCTTCCTGGGTTCAAGTAATTCTCCTGCCTCAGCCTCCTGAGTAGCTGGGACTACAGGCACGTGCCACCATGCCCAGCTAATTTTTGTATTTTTAGTAGAGACGGGGTTTCACCATGTTGGCCAGGATGGTCTCAATCTCTTGACCTCGTGATCCGCCTGCCTTGGCCTGCCAAAGTGCTGGGATTACAGGTATGAGCCACTGTGCCCAGTCAAGGCCCCATCTCTTAAAAGAAAAGAAAAGAAAAGAAAACAACAAGATTGAAAAGGCAAGTTACAGAATGTAATTCATAAATTCAATAAAAGATTCAGATCCACAATATGTAAACAGTTTCTATACATCATTAAGAAAAAGATACAGCCGGCGTGGTGGCTTACACCTGTAATCCCAGAACTTTGGGAGGCTGAGGTGGGTGGATCACCTGAGGTCAGGAGTCTGAGACCAGCCTGGTCAACATGGTGAAACCCAGTCTCTACTAAAAATACAAAAATCGGCCGGGCGCGGTGGCTCACGCCTGTAATCCCAGCACTTTGGGAGGCTGAGGCGGGTGGATCACGAGGTCAAGAGATCAAGACCATCCTGGTCAACATGGTGAAACCCCGTCTCTACTA